ACCATCCCACCATCCCACCATCCCGCTGCCCGCCATCTTGCTGCCTGCTTCCTGGTGCCGCTGGAATTTTGGGCTGAAGATCAGGGGGTTCCAGCTGGATCAGCCCGGAATGGCTTTGGGCCAGCCTGCCTGGATTATATCTGGGAGTGTGGGATTCCTCTACTGAACATCCTCTCCCATAATCCCCCCCCCAAGCCTCTTTCTAACTCACCACTGACCAGCACCCCTCCTCCAGTCCTGGGCAACTGGGGCCACCTCACCTCCCCATTTGAGCCACCGAGTTGCCCCATGGCGTCTCCACCAACGTCATTACCCCCCACGTCCCTCACGCAGTCTGCTGATCACACTGGGGGCGGGGGGGGCCTGTGCAGATTTTCTGGTGTTAAATTTCCGGAGACCAGCCCCGTACTCTGCATTCCAGGTAAATCAGTGAAACCTCTAAACCGACCCTGGCCACCACTGGAAAAACATTGAAAAGGGGGGGGGGAGGGGGGGGTCTGTTTCTGCCCCCTGTGAGGTCACCAGTAATAACCAGCTGCCCCATCCACCTTCAGGAAGGAAAAGAGATGATAAACAAGCCAGTTTTCTTTACCTCCCACCCCGCGCTGTCCAGCAAGTGAAGACAGATCACACCGGGTGAGAAAGATGACTGAGGACTGAAGTCATTTGGGCAGCAGAAGAGGCAGGACAGGGGAATTAAAAGGGTCAGACATCCACCAATCAACATGTGCCGGGCCGCTCTGAATAATGGGAGGAGGCGGGGCCTGCAGCCACTGCCAGGAGCGAGCCTGTCATAGCGGGGAGAGCCAGGCCGTGCGAGCAGGAGAGAGGAGCCTTTTTGTGTGTCTGCCTTTTTTTCTTCCACGGGAACCTTCGCCGGTCGCGGAGTGGCCTTTGTTTACTAGAACTGCGGGATTAGCGCTCGGATTGGCCCCGCCGACAACGCAGACTCGCCCGGCTCCCCCAGGATGTCGGGGGCTTTTTAGGGAAAAGGCAAAGTGAGGCGGCGGCAGGGTGGAGGACGGCGTGTGTGAGCAGACGGCAGCAGCGTCTGTAAGGTGCATGGAGGAGCTCAGGGGACCATTTCCGCTTTTCGCCACATGCCAGAGAAATTGGACACCTCCATAGGTCCTGCTTTACCTTTTATATTCAGATAGTTATATTTTCCTTAGATATTATTTATAACAGAATATATTTTCTTCACAGAAGATGTACAGTGAAAGTAAATAGTCGGTCTGGTCTCAGTTAATAAATTAAAGTTTATTGTGTATTAAAATGAATAATTATTGATAATGTTTAGGTATATGTGCATTTCTTTTTCAATTGCACAAATGGCACAACTTTTGTCAATGTTTATATAAATGTGTAATGTATTGATAGCATTATATTTAAAGCTGGTTATGAATGTATTGCACCGTTGCCTGTGTACTGTAGTTGACAGTGTTGCACTGAGTAGGAACACGTTTACCTCTGTATTAAAGTCATTGGAATGAACTGAGCTTTCGTGGGAAAGTCGCGCCATTATGGGGAAGCCCCTGAGCAGGCCAGACTGTCTCCGGCAGAACCCGTCCTGTGTGGGACAGGGGGAGGAGGAGGACCTCAACATGGAGGACTGCTATGTGCCCCAGAGGTCCATCTATGACACGGTGCGGCTGAACGAGCAGATTGACTCTGGTTCTAAGGGCAGCCTGGCATCGCGGCACTTTGCCGGGACGCTGCCATACAGCCAGCGCACGCTGGACATGCTGACCCTGTGCAGCAATGGCGCCCTGTCCTCCTCCAGTGTCTTTGACCTGCATGGCCGCGAGGCACCCGGCGACACGCTCCTGCACAATGGCAACGCCGTCTGCGTCTCGGGGATGGCCCTGCCCTGGCAGGCGCTCCACCCCCCCCAGCAGGGCCGCCGGCGCTCCTGGCGTGCTGTCGCCCCTCCTGCACCTGCCAGCGGGGGGCGCAGTTACCCGCGGAGAGGAACAGGCTCGCTGACGTCAGAGGATGATTCGGGGCTGTGCAGTCCGACGGCAGAGCGGGGACAGTGGGTCCCTAAGGTAGCTGGGATGGACATGGACATTGGCACCAGGAGCCTGTCCTCCGCAGAGGCTCTGCCCGCGTCTGAAGACCTCCAGACAGGCTGCTCCTTCAGCTCAGGGCAGGAAGAGTTCCCATCGAAGTGCGTCCACGATGCCACTCCCACATCTTCGTACTACATTGTGTCTCCAGGCCAGGAAGTGCCGTGGGAAAACTGCACGCCTGGCATCGCCTGCAGGACTGCTGACACGACTGAAATGGGTGGAGACTATGGATACGTGTTAAGTGGCATTTTGCCACTGCCATCTCCCGGGGTACATCAGTGCCTGGAATATAATGAGCTGCCCACCACGGAGCTTCTGGTGGGCCTCCCAGACCAGGGTGACTCTGAGCTCATCAGTGTGGTTGTCACACAACCAGAGCCCTGTCCCAGTTACGACCTACTACCTCAGGCGGCATCTGTCGAGGAGGAAGCACCGCGTGTCCTGGAAGGGGGAACCTTGGAGTACGACATGCAGGATCTGGAGGACTTCATCCGCGCGGTTGAGAGGGAAGCCTGCTTAGCCAATGGCGGGAACCCGATGTGTGGGTCCGTGGTGGAGGAAGAGATTGAGCGTCTCTTAGCAGCTCTGTCCGCATTTCCTGAAATCAACCTAACGGGCTTCCCCCCTCCACAGGTACCCCTCATATGTCAGGCCCCAGGAGCTGGAAAACACCCCGAACCGTCTGTTTTGGGCAGCCTGAGTGAGCTGGTCCTGTGTGCTGGTAGTAGGATGTGTGGATTGGGTTTGTCCTGATATACCTCAGATCCAGGCCTTCCATCACAGCAGAGCTCTTAAAGAAATTATATGATATTAAGCTGCCTGCTCACTCTGCAGGACGCGATTTCTAAATGGTTTGATAGGTCTTTATTTGTTTTGCCATTTTTCAGCACTATAAAACGCACTGAAGATGTACCGGACTGATGCTGTTACTTTAGTCATGGTTTGAGTATTAAAATCCAGTGCATTTACCAGTTATTTAATACTATCTTCTTGCACTGGACCAATAATAATATAGGAACATGACTGAATTTCAGCATCACATTAAATGGCTAAAACAGGTTTTTATCACATTGGTAGCTGAGCATAAATGTTGTACCTCTGACTAAATGTCACTTAAAGATGAAGCGTAGGGCGGTGACACTGGAGCAGCCTTTAAGTGTAACTGAAAGAAATAGACGTTTCCTTTCCTGTTTCATCCTCACCTGCTCTGAGCCTTAAAGGAGGTCTTTGGTTCCAGGTTTTCCAGAAGGAAGAAATTGAACCACTGCAGGCTAAGCTGCAGGACTTGAACCAGCTTGGTCAAGGTCTTATTCAGAGTGCTGCCAAGAGCACAAGTACGCAAGGCCTTGAGTATGACCTGGAAGACGTCAACACGAGATGGAACACGCTCCACAAAAAGGTTACCATTCTTCTTTGAACTGCTAAATCATGTATATGTAAGAGTCTCAGGCATCCGAAAAAATCCTTCCATAATGTAAAACTACTATCCCAGCCGGGCTGATTTGTGTTAGAAATCAAGACGTACAAACAACCCAAAACTCACTTATATGGCTGTGTTTCTTTGAAACCTGTGCGCAGGTCGCAGAGAGGTCAGCCAAGCTGCACGAAGCCCTGTTGCATTGTGGGAGGTTCCAGGATGCTCTGGAATCCTTGCTCAGTTGGCTAACAGATACAGAGGAGTTGGTAGGCAACCAGAAGGCTCCATCAGCAGAGTTCAAAGTCGTCAAAGCTCAGATCCAGGAGCAGAAAGTGAGTGCTTTCGACCACACACCAGAAATACAAGTTACGGCTTAAATTATGAAGATCAGTCCAGTAAAACAATTCATGTGGAGTACGAGTTGGACACTGAATTCAGTGCTTTATTGGGTGTATTTTCACATGGCCGGTAATGAATGCCGTTAATCTGAACGCCTGACTCCTGTGTGGCAGCTCCTACAGAGGTTGCTGGATGACCGCAAGCCCACGGTGGAGCTAATTAAAAAAGAGGGGACAAAGGTGAGCGAGCTTGCAGAGCCCGCAGACAAGGAGAAGATTCTGAGGGAGATCGAGAGTCTGGGCCAGAGGTGGGACAGCCTGTGGAAGAAGGCAGAAAGCAGGTCGGTACAATGGGCCACGGGCGTCCTAGTCTAGAGTCCCAATGTTACTCGAGTTGTTGTTCGAGTTTCATTTTCTGTTCACTTACCTGTTGTAATATTTATAGGGATGGTTCCTTTCTACCAAGCATGAAGTGGGACATATTTAGCACTGTGCCTGGAGGTTTTTTTAGGACAAACGACTCAACAATTGTCAAAGAGGCAAGGGCCGAACAAATGATGGGCGTAGCATTACTCATACTGCATTCTTCCTGATCGAATTACTGCAGACACAAGCAGCTTGAGGGCATCCTGGTGGTGGCGCAGCAGTTCCACGAGACACTGGAGCCCATGTTGGAGTGGCTCAGCACCACGGAGAAGCGACTGGCTAACTCCGAGCCCATTGGGACCCAGACCGAGAAGCTGCAAGAGCAGATCACCCAACATAAGGTGTCTTGTTTTCATCCTCACCGCTCCCAACTTGACCTGGTTCATTTTGTTTCCCTTGTGCTTTAATTTTGTGGCGTTCTCCATCTTTTTGGATGATTTATGTTATATCTGTGCATTTTAGTTACCTTTCCCATAATCATTATGAGTTGGTTTGTGTTGGTTTTTGGTTCATCATTTTTTGTTTTCTTTTCCATTTTTGTTTCCTCTTGATTTGTCCTCCGGTCTTGGCTAATCAGGCCTTAGAGGAGGAGATTATGAGTCATGCTAAAAGACTGCACCAAGCCATCAGCCTCGGTCAGGTGCTCCGGACCATGAGCTGTATGGATGACAAGGAGCTGGTCCAAGCGAAGCTCGATGTTGCTCAGACCAGTTACATAGATTTGCAGGACAGGTGCAGGCACAAGGCTGAAATGCTGCACCAGGCTCTTTCCAATGCTCATCTGTTTGGCGAGGATGAAGTGGCCCTCATGACCTGGCTCAGCGAGGTCCATGACAGACTGAGCAAAGTGTCCGTCCAAGACTACAAACCCGAAGTTCTCGAGAAACAGGCAGCGGAACAATTGGTATTTTTGTTATTGTTCTTGTGTTTTTCAGTTTTGTTCTTCATTCATCTCTCAATGTTTTGGATTTTCACCACTTTTCTGCTTTTGGCTGCTACCTTGTCCAAGAGTTGGTGTAATTTTTTTATTCTGGCCACATTTTAGGCTCTTCATCAGGACATTGAGCTCCGGAAGCAGAATGTCGACCAGGCGGTTTCTAATGGGTTAGAACTGCTGAAGCAGACAACAGGTGAGACTAACTTAGAAGACAAGGTTGATGATCTGAGGTATAGCTGACCAGGGTTTTCTAGATGATCGGCATGCATGTTAACACTGAGGTATCTGATGTCTGGGTGCTTGTTCAGATGTTTTTACCTGCTAAAGTCTCATATTAAAATATAATAAATTAGTTTTCCTCCTAATGCAGGCGATGAGGTCATTGTTATTCAGGGGAAGCTGGAAGGAATCAAGAGCAGATATGCAGAGATCGACACGATGAGCAGCAGTGTTTCCCGGACCCTCGAGCAGGCCCTCTCACTGGCTGTCAAGCTGCAGCACACCCACGAAAACCTGTCCGTGTGGCTGGACGGGGTGGAGGCCGAACTGAAGGGCTTTGGAGTGCAGGATCTGCGGGGAGAGCAGCTCACCCAGGCCCAGGAGCGGCAGAAGGTTTGCTCTTCTGCTGGCTTGTGCTTTCCGTTGACTGGGCTTTCGGGTATCTCTCATCATGTTGATTGGTGTGCTGTGGTAGACTGTGACCATATTTAATGCACTGGTTTGCATTTTCAGAACCTCATTAGTGTGATTTAGCAGTGAATTAGGTATAAGCAGGACTAGTCAAGGTAAGCCGACTAGATCTCTCTACAGGATAACTTTTGCATGGTAGAGGGATTGTAATTATGGGCTGGAAGACCGGTCCTTTGAGACATAAACTGCCAGCATCCTCTTATCTTCTGATCTGTAGCCTGTTTTCATTTGACTGGGAGCTGCCCCATGCCTCCAGAGGAGGGCAGTGTTCTTGCTGTTACTCATTAGGGAATCAGTGGGGAGCAGTTAAGGTTTAAGATGACATCTCCTACTGTGTAGGGGCTCCTGAAGGAGGTCAGAGAGCACAGGGCCGAGGTGGACGTCCTGAACGAGGTGAGCGGCGCCCTACTGCAGCTGGTGCCATGGCGTGCTCACGAAGGCCTGGACAAGACGGTGAGCGAGGACAACGAGCGCTACGGTCTGGCCAGCGACACGCTCAGCCAGCACGTAGCACGGATTGATGCCGCCATCCTGCGGCTGCAGCAGGTGAGAGGGCCCCCAAGCACCCGGGGGGTGTCTAATGAGGGGTAAATAAATAAACAGGGGCACAAAGGCCCTGCTGCGCCCCCAACAAAGAGAGCCCGTCGATCAGAATGCAAATGGGCCTTTTATGGTGCAAATCCCGCCTGTATTCAGGGGACAGCTCTGCTCTGTTTCATCTGGGAGGCTGATGGGAGCCTCCGGATCTGACACGGGTGCGAGCAGGGAACTCGCTCTCTGTAAATTTGCATGTGATTATCTGCTTGTTAGGAAGGAGAGCCTGAGCACTGTGTGTTTTGGCACCCAGATACGTAGTAAAGAAGAGACCCCATGTTTTCAGTAGTGAAGTGGGTTTTGTGTGGCTCTGTGGGTTTGGGCGTCGTGCCTCTGATCAGAAGGTCACCAGTTCAAATCTCAGGGTCAGAATGATGATCCCTTGACCACCAGTTGTACCAGGCTGACCTTGTTTTATAAAAATAATAAGTAAAACTTATTAAGTAAAAAAAAAATGTTGAACTTGTTGAACACATTCTTGCTTTGTGGTCATCCCCCTCAATCAGTTTGAAAGTGCAGCCCAGAGTGAGCTCCGCTGGCTGACCGACGCGGAGACAAAGCTGTCCTCGTTGGAGGTGATCAGGCTCGAGCAGGACCAGGCCACGGTCCAGCTGCAGGCGCAGAAGGTGCGTTTCCCATGTGTCCAATCGCGGCCAAGAGCACGCCGGTCCCCGGGCTGGTCTGCCTTGTAACGGAACGGCCCATTCTGCTCCGATCCAACAGAGCTTCTCCTTGGACATTGTGAGGCACAAGGACGTGGTCGATGAAATCGTGAAGACTGGCGAGGTCATCATGAGCACCAAGAATGAGGAGGAGAGGAAACCCCTGAGGGTAACGACGCATCAGAATATCCATGCTCATCTTCAAGGAAACGTGAGAAAATCAGGGCCTTATATAAACAGAAATATTTTTTTTTACCCAGGACACCATCCAGACGCTGGTTGAGAAGAGCAGCACCGTCAGTCAGCTGAACTCGGACCGCTGTCTCCAGCTGGAGCGGGCCCTGTCGCTGGCTAGCCAGTTCTGGGAGACCCACGAGGAGCTGTGGCCCTGGCTGCAGGAAACCCGCAGCAGCTTCAGCCAGCTTCCCATGCCGGCCATCGAGTACGAGATCCTGCGGCAGCAGCAGGAGGAGCTGCGGGTACGAGTGTGCAGCCGGCCAGGGCTCCGCCCGGAGAGTCTCACCCAAACAGGGTGTTGTCCAGTAAAATACGTAATTGCTGATTTTTTTAAGCGCATTCCTCAGTAATGCTCTCCTGTGACCCTAATGGTCTTCAGTGCTCTGTGAGTATATGTAGGGCCGTTTCTCTACTGATCGCTCTTGTGCCAGGCATGAAGCAGATGTCACAGTTTAATAAAGCTTACCGTAAATGTGAGCTCATTGCTGCCCTTGGCCTCGCGGTTAAGCCACGTTTTTTTGTCATCCCTTGTCCAATTGTGTCTGGCATACCCGTAACCACACTTCCCCCACCCTCCCCCCCACCCACGCAGCAAATGCGGGAGCTGATCGCGGAGCACAAACCCCACATCGACAAGATGAACAAGACGGGCCCACAGCTGCTGGAGCTGAGTCCTGTGGAGGGCCAGCGCATCCTGGAGACGTACTCCACTGCTGACCAGCTGTACAGCCAGCTGAAGGCCGACGTCGGGCAGAGGGCCGCTGCACTCGACGAGGCCTTCTCCAAGTCCACCCAGGTCACCACCCTCCCCGGCTCTAACGTTACGTTTTCCAGGGCAGTGTGGTTCCTATTTTCCCAGCAGGCCGTTCTGTTGAGTTTTTTGCACTTTTGTGTGTTCCTCTGACTGTTGTTGAAACACTTCAGTCTCTGTATTTATTTAACTTATTCTTCATGATTCGCTGCTTCCCACAGTCCCTTGTGGGCACCATTCTTTTCATTGTGGCATATTAAGGCGCATTGGCTTTGACGTCTGTCTTGAAGGTTCCGTTGTTTTACAATGACTGCCTCTGCTGGCCCAAGCATTTCCTTGGAATGAGAAACACTGACTGCTTTGGAATACCCCCTAAACACATATATTATTGCTGTGTCTGATAATCTGTGAGACAGAACGTGGAACAACAATCTCGTGACAGATCTGGCTTATCATAAACCATTAAACTCTGAAATCCTTGCTCTACAGGGAAACGTTTATGAACAGGGAAGGATCGGCAGTGACTCCGAGGGCTTTGTGAAAATTCTGACACGATCAGTTCAAGTTTGGCCTTAAGTGTCTTTTTTAACGCTGCCAGTTTATACCTTGTATGAGCTTCTATATAAATGAACCAGACAGCTGTAAAAATTAATTGCAGCATTTCCCACTTTTGGATCTCCTTGAATTTCTTTAAGCCGTAATTTTGTTTCTTTGTGTGATGCTAACAGGTTTAAGGCCAAAAGGGTCTCAGTCTTTCACCATAAATTAAAAAAAGAATGAATTAAGGATTGTGAGAAGCTGTCTTGTCAGCGTGAGGTTTTGGCTGAGAGGCCAGCGGCAGGGATGTTTAGATGAATGAGGATTTTACTACAAGGTGCTGTTTAGACTCTCAAAGACTCCAGCTCCGTGTGAAAAGCCGGGAGGCACTCAGGGTTCTCTTGTCAGCTTGGTTCATATCAAATCACTTCATTTGTCACTCGACACTTGGCAAGTACAGATCAGTGAGTAACTAGTGGACAATGTCTCAAACAACAGTGAAGAAATACAATAAAGCGTGCAATAAAAACAAAAAGTGCAAATAGCAAATGGTACTATACAGCAGCCATTCTCAACCCATGGGTCGTGACAAGTTCTGAAAGGGTCACAAGGCAGAATTGGAAATGTAAGCATTTTAAAACCAGCAAGCTCCCATGCTGATCCGCGATCAGATTTCCCAGCCCCAATCCTAGAATTAAGCTATATAAATGGGTCTTGGGTCTGCAAATGCTTAGCGCAAATCTAGTGAGTACTCAACCAATCCAAGAAGCCAAAAAACAGATGCTTCATTTAAAATTCACTGGCACATCCAATCAGATTTTTGCGATAGGCATTGATTGGCATAAATTGCAGACTGCACTGCGTGCTTGATCATAGAGTTCAGCATCCTGATAGTCTGATGGCACGGTTCTCGCTCCTGACCCGGCACAGTTCCATGACAAGATCGATCCCATGCTGGAGTCCCTGGAGCGCATCGCGGAGCGACTACGCCAGCCCCCTTCCATCTCAGTGGAGGTGGAAAAGATCCGGGAGCAGATTGCAGAGAACAAGGCCGTGTCGGTGGACCTGGAGAAGCTGCAGCCGGCCTACGAGACCCTGAGGCAGCGTGGAGAGGAGATGATTGGGCGCTCTGAGGGGGTCGACAAGGACGCGTCGGCTAAAGGTAGACCTTGGCTTTGGAGTTTCTGTAAATGACAGGGCAGGCGCTGAAGTAACTAGTGTGAGATACCACTGTTTCTTGTAGGATTGAAGGTCACAGGTTTGTGCTGTACCTGTTGGAATGTGGCGTGCTGTCTGTGTAAGGTCTTGCTTTTATCTCTTGACTATAAGCTGTGAAAGACAAGCTGGACCAGATGGTGGTCATCTGGAATGACATCCAGGCTCTCATGGAAGAGAGGGAGGCCAAGCTCCTCGATGTGATGGACCTTGCGGAGAAGTTCTGGTGCGACCACTGCGCCCTTATCGTCACCATCAAGGACACGCAGGACCTTCTGAAGGAGATGGAAGAACCAGGGGTGGATCCCTCAGTGGTCAAGCAGCAGCAAGAGTCTCTGGAGGTGAGCAGGGGAACTTCAGCTGAATGATGGAAGTCCTTTGAGGTTTGGGGGAGGGTGCAGTCCAGTCAAGCCAGCTTAAATTATGCTTCTCTCTTCTTCTCAGGGTTTCAAGGAAGAAATCGATGGACTCCAGGATGAGCTCGATATTGTTCGGAACCTTGGAACAGAACTCCTGGCTGCCTGTGGGGAGCCAGATAAACCTGTCATCAAAAAGAGCCTAGATGAGGTAATGATGTCATCAGTGAGGGACCAAAGATTTACACCTCAGAAACACTCACCTCCTATTTATTGTATAAGCATGAGATGATGTGATAGGGAAAACAAAGGCAGTGCCATTCTTGTGCTCATCTCATGATACAATGGCCACTTTTCCACCAGGTGAACGTGGTCTGGGAGACACTGAACAAGATGTGGAAGGAAAGAGTGGACCATCTGGATGAGGCAATGCAGGCCGCTGTGCAGTTTCAGGATGGCCTTCAGGTAAAATCACAGCTGCTACAAAACAAGTTTCATCACAACGGTGCTGCTTGTGACCCTTATGGAGGCCGTACGCATTTCTGCTGTTGTTGTCTTCATCTTATTTTGGTGTTTTCCTCTGTATTTTTATGCTTGGGTAATTGTAGCTTTTGTTGAAAGAGAGATTTTCTGGTTGGGTCTTGTCTCTCTTCTCCCTCTTGATCTTGTCAACTCTTCAAAGCTCTGTAATCCCCTGCTGTAGTCATTAATCAGCCTGATGATCAATGACAAGGAGTCTGCCCTCTGTCCATGATTAAGCAAACAATCAGAGGAGGTCTGAATCTTAGATAATCCCCACATTGGTGCTTTTTGCACCTTTTAAACACATTAATCAGGACAGACAGCATAAGTCTAAGCTTCAGACTGGCAGTTCAGTTCAGACCCTGGGACACCTGAGTTCACACAGAACTACATAAGGTTCATTCATAACTTTTAGTAAGTTTGAAGTCTTTGACAATGGTTGTTTTCAAGAAGATATACTGGTTTACTAAAGTAAGTAGCTGATTTTTTCCCCATTTGATATGTGTTTGCCATTTGAAAATCTCTGCATTATAGCACTTTCTCCACCAGTGCAAAGTTGAATTTCAGTAGGATGTGACTGGTTCACATTTATGTGAGTGGTGGAGGGTTCAGACTGGATGAGGGAGGACAGTGAAGTTTTGCTCCAAGGCCCATTGCGGGTTTCCCTGTGCTGTGCCCTTGTGAAGGAAGGTATCTCTACCTGCAGGGCATGTTCGACTGGGTGGATATCATGGAGAGCAAACTGGATTCAATGTCCCCTGTTGGAACTGATCTGGAGACAGTGAAGCAGCAGATCGAGGAGCTCAAGGTATCGTGTTTTCTGCAAAGCTACCATGACCATGATAAAGAAGAACCTGTACAAGTCACTTTATCTCAGATGTTTCTAATATGCAAATCAAGTCAGTTATAAAAATATTAAGAGACATTGTCTCTTGTGTGTCTCTGTGACAAGTTTTTTGCGCCCTGTTTCATAGCCAGTTGTGTGTCAGAGGTCACTTAGTGTGCAGCCTGAAGCTCGATGACTGATGTGTTGTACTCTGTTATAGGAGTTTAAGTCCGAGGCGTACCAGCTGCAGATCGAAATGGAGCGTCTGAACCACCAGGCCAGCCTGCTGCTGAAGAAGGTCACTGAGGAGATGGACAGGTGTGCCATCCAGGAGCCCATGACGGAACTCAAGATGCTGTGGGACAACTTGGACGAGAAGATCATCAACAGACAGGTGTGCTTACCCAGATATTCATGTATGCTGCTTTTTGATTGGATCTCCTGGTTTTCCTGCTTTTTTCACTGTTTATGTGACGTGGTTTTTAATTACTGCAGCACAAGCTAGAGGGCGCTCTGCTGGCACTGGGGCAGTTCCAGCATGCACTGGATGAGCTGCTGACGTGGATGACTCACACTGAGGAGCTACTCAATGAACAGAGAAAGACCAGCGGTGACCCCAAAGCCATCGAGATCGCACTCGCCAAACACCATGTACGTTTCAGTCCATTTCATTTTCCAAATTGCTAGCAGGAAACTCCAGTTTGAAGCCGCTGTGTTTAGGTTACATGCTCCTGCTTTTAAAACTGCTTGCAGCCTAATCACAAGTTTGCTGTGCATGTGAAGTCTGAACAGTCAGAATGGTGGCTGTAGGGTCTTTATGATCTCACAAATTTGTTTGGAAAGGAACGGGAACTATGCTGCCTGTTCACATGAAAAAGAAATTAGTTTCTTAATTTAGTATTTAAACCAAAGTTATAAAATTGAGGGCATTCTGCCAAATAAATAAATAGCTATTATGAGTCCATTAAGCTTTCTGTTTTTTCATCAAATAAGGAAATCGTAGGTCTCTGGAATTCTCCCATAAGTCTTAGCTATATAGCCAAGATCAACAGCAGGCGTTATCCAGCCAGACCGAACAGGAAAATCGCCAGGCTCCATCTCCACCAGGATGTGGTTCTGCCTTTAGGGCCAATCAGATCCACGACAACGAAGCATGCTGTGGGCTAACAGTTCCTCGGGTTGGCAGATGTGGGATGTGCCCTGGCAAACAGCCACTAGGGGCAGTGATGTGCAGTGTGTGCGCTGCACACCTTGGAACTCAGGCGTATTTTGCAAGCATGTGCTGTTTTCCTTTAGTATTTAACGTGATGTGTTGCTCACTTTTCTGAGAAGTTTGGACTGCACACTTGTGATTCAACTCTGATCCAGAACCGTATTTGAGAAGCACTATATTTGAATAAGGTGCTGAATATCTCCATATCTGCCTTGCCTCTGTAAACCGAAGGTTTTTTGGAAGATAACAGTACCACCGCTGACACTCCAATCCGTGTGATGGCTGGGATGTGATGATAGCACATCCATTATTGTGGTCTTTTGGCCCTTTGGATTTCTAGGTGCTTCAGAATGACGTGCTGGCCCATAAGAGCACGGTGGAAGCAGTCAACAAGGCTGGAAGCGATCTCATGGAGTCCAGCGCCGGTGATGAGGCAAGCAGCCTGCAGAGCAAGCTGGAGAACCTCAACCAGCGCTGGAATGCCATCCTGGAGAAGACGGAGCAGAGGAGGCAGCATCTGGACACAACCCTGCTTCAGGTGCGGCTTCCCGGAACCCTTCGGGATCTGGCCAGGCGCCATCGTTTTCCGAATTGGCTTTGGGGGGCTGGAATTTTGGCTGCGGGGGGTGTGGACGTTGAGGCCTGGTTCAGCAGGAGTTCTTTTCATCCTGCCCGGGTTCTTGACATTGAGTAAATGTTTTCGGCTGTGAAACGGATAGAAGGCATGGAAGTAATCGGAGAAGCATTTCGTACACGTGAGGAATTTTTGGAAGGCTTGTTATCGGACGTAAATCTGTGTGTGTTGCTGTAGCGATTGCATTGTTAAGGAAACGGGAATGTTTACAAGACCTGGAACGTATAAATGGTCTTCATCAAGAATCATAAAAATGATGCATCGGCTATTTTTAGAAAGTTTTGAAATTAAAGGTCAGGGAAATGGGCTGAAACCTGCAGTACGAGCCAAAAAAGAAAGCAGCTCTGCTGATTTAAAAGCAGGCAGAAATGACTAAAATTGATGTATAAGAATAAAACAAAGGAGGAGCTTAGAAATGCAGTGAGTGTGTAACATGGCTGCTGCTGTTTATCCTGTGAATTCTGCTGTAAATACCGTGTCTGCTGGTGGAGTTAATAGGTCATGCATTAAGGCCCCCGCACGGCTGCCTGCGGCCCGCCTGCCTGGGCCGCCCCGTCGCCATGACGCTTTGTTTCCGTCCCGACACAGGCCCAGGGTTTCCATGGCGAGATCGAAGACATGCAGCAGTGGCTGAAAGACACGGAGCGTCAGCTGTTAGCATCAAAGGCCGTTGGAGGCTTACCAGAAACGGCCCGCGAGCAGCTTAACACCCATCTGGTACGTATTTAAGGATATGAAAGAGCCGTTACAGATGGCTGACGTGTGAGACACCACCGGCTCTGGCCTCTTCTGCAGTGTGAAAAGTAGCTGACGTCACAAATAGCGGGAAAAAAAGCACGCAGCAGTGACCCTGCTAGGCGTGCTGGACAGAGAGAGCACTGGATGACCTCTGCCTGACAATGGCCCAGCGGATTTTTTGGAAACAGTTGTGCATTTTCTTTCTTTTTTTGTTTCTTTGGTAGACACAATGACCTCAGACCCTTATGGCTGAGATCGATGGTTTAGCTTTGGCCCTGAAGCTGGAGGGGGGGGAGGTTTAGCTTTGGCCCTGGTGCTGGAGGGGGGGGGAGGTTTAGCTTTGGCCCTGAAGCTGGAGGCGGGGGGAGAGCTCCAAATCATTCC